AAATTTATTTTGCTTATTTTGACACTTCTTCAAATCAAATAATTTTAATGTGAACTATAAAGCAGTTATAAGTGCAAATTCCACAAAAAATATTTTTTTCAAAATATCAGATCTAAGAAAATATAAATTATACCAAAACAGCTAAATACTTCAAAGTATCTTGAATATTAAACTACTATTTTATAAGTTCTGTCTCAGAGCAAAAAGTTGTGATGTGAAGATTTTCAAAGTTAAGAGTTAAGTGAAACAGTATCAGATAATGTAATATTTTTGTATTTGAAGATGCTTTAAAATTTTTATATAATTTAATATTAATATGGTAAGTAAATTATATATTGCCAAACACTTTCAGAGCCACTAAAACTACAGTAAAATAATCTTGGAAATTATAAATTCTTTCCTAATATTTATGGATACTGTAATTACATAATAGTAATACAATTTCTTGGCATACTATGGTTTTTATGTGAACTTGTATTATATTAACAAATAATTAATAAAACTCTCCAGAACACAAAGAAATCAGGAATTGACTCCTGATTTCACTACATTAACTGTTGGGTCATGATACACCAAAAACTGTAAAACACAAACAGTAAGATAATGGTAAAATATCAAAAACTGGATATATATTTCTCTAAACAATACTATCTTTCATAAAATAAATTTGTTCCACATCTAAAATACTTCACAATTCATAGGTGTGAATTATCAAACATAAACATGAGCCCTGGCTGGTTTTGCTCAGTGGCTAGAGCATCGGTCTGCGGACCAAAGAGTCATGGGTGCAGTTCCGGTCAAGGGCACATACCTCAGTTGTGGTTCGGTCCCTGGCCCTGGTCAGGGTCCTGCGGGAGGCAGCCAGTAGATGTATCTCTCTCAGGTCCATGTATCTCTCTCTCTCTCTCTCTCTCCCTTTCTCTCTATCTCCCCCTCCCACTCTATCTGAAGATAAAGGGAAAAAATATCCTCGGGTGAGGATTAAAAAAACATAAACATGACATATCCAAGTTTCTCTCCCCCCTACAATACCTTCCATTTCACAGCCCTAATTTTTAGGAATAATCTCTGCAATATAGAAAGTTGCAGAGTAATATCAACTATCACCAACAAGTAAGTTACTGTTGAGAACGTGTGATATTTACTTCCGGGCATGTGTACAAGGCAGACTAGACCCTCTCGTGCCCCTTTCCCACTTCTCCTCTACCTTCTTTCAACTTAAGAAAATGGTAACTTGGTTTGATACAATAAATTTCAGATTCTTACAAGATACTCAGGGAGAAATGTCTGGTAGGCAGTTGGACATATAATAACCAGCATTCAGATGGTAGTCTTGTAAATATATTATTTCATTTAATTCCTCTGAAACTCAAGGGGGTATGTACCTAGTGGCAGAAGCAGGATTCAAACGTAGTTCTTAACCCAAAGCTCTTACTATTCCATTCAGCCTCCATGGGTTTGGCACCTGGCAGAAAGATCCAAGGTAGAAATACAGATTTGCAAGTTTATCTTTCTTTCATGAATCTTATTCAGCAGAAATACATTAGATTCCTAATGTTGGACCTAAGGATACCAACAAAATAAAGTTACATTTCCTATCCTTAGAAAACCATACCACAGACAGAGAAAAGAAAAACATACACACACAAATTGCACTATGATCGACACTGCTAACAGAAATAGTTAAGAGGAGCAATACTAACCCCAAAGGGAGAGAGCAGTCAGTTCCACATTGGAGGAGCAGTCTTGGGGAAGGTTCTAAGAAAGGAAGACAATGCTTAACCACGACTGTGAAGGATGCATTTTTTTTCAATCCTCCAAGTGGACAGAGAAAGCAAGAAAGGAGGGCCACTCCGCAAACAGGCAGTGGCATACACAGAATCACCAATGCCCAGAAGAGTACAGTCTGCTCAGAAGAACACACTGATGAACACAGTGCCTGCCCTCCAATCGGTCCAGTCTCCAGCCCCCACCCCTCTGCTCTTCCAGATGCTAGACAACAGGACAAGGAAGGTAAAATATTTTCTGCTCTCTTGAGTGTCAGTTTTCAAAGAGAAGATCTACTTCTCCAACCTCCCCTTCAAAGGGAAAATTGTGAAGGGATAGGACCGCCGGCCTTGCCAATCAGGAGGAGCAGTGACACAGTGACCAACCACCCTGTTGAAACAGCTCCCCAATAGCATCACTATGGACCACCTCATCCAGCCTTTTGTTTTCTTGGTAACATTTATTATTACCCGAAACGACATTGTCTGTGCACTTTTTCTTGTTTATTGCCCTCATTAGAATGTAAGCTCTGGGAGGCCATGGGCTTTTTCCATTTCATTCACCGCTGTATCTGCAGCTTGCCTGACACAAGGAAGACACCGCAAATATCTGCTGAATGGATGGATGTTGTTTTAGCTTGCGTAAAATATAGCATTTATTTTAAAAATTAAAACAATTCAAAAACATTTTTTAAAAAGACCAAATCAAGATAACATTTCACTTCCATAAGACACTCAATATTTTCTTCCATATTTAATACTATTTTCATGTCCCCAAAGAAATTTTCTAATGCTCTAAATAGAAACCCTAAGCCCCCGGTTTTTTCACTGCAGAAAATGTCTGAAACATAACATGCTTCCAAAATTAACACCTAAAAATTTAACTCTGCTCTATTCCCACCCAGATAGTTCATTACAGTATCTTTAGAGCAAAGGAAACAAGCTAGCAATTCTGGATAAAGTGTTACACCAACTACAAATCAATGCTCTGTTTCCGTGAAACATGCGTAAGGAAAAATGAAGAAAACTATTCCACATTTAAGGAAGAAGTCCAAGTTCTGCTCATAAAACAAAAAATATCTAAGGTAGAAAAAAAAAAGTGAGTAATGTTATTAGAAACCAGGTAACACATGATATCTATAAAATGGTCACCAATTTTTAGACAGGATCACTGATGATAGCTGAGGCACAGAGATCAAGCTTTGTCGACACTGCATGTTACATAAAATGTCTGGGACAGCAGTATCTTGTGGAATCTGTTTCTCCAAGTGACCCTTTCACTTTAGGGTTCTTTGAGCCACCTACCACTACTTTCAGAATCACCGGTTTCAGGCTCCTGTGCCACAGGTGGGACGGTCTCTGTGGCATTTCCGGTTTGAGAAAGCTAGAGAGAACTAGTCCACAAGCTTAGCACCGCCAGTCCTGGTCTGACTAAAGGCTTTCACACAAATACATCAGAGTTCAAGAGACAACTTCACAAGTCCAAATTTTATTTTTAACTATGAAAATAAACTATGCTATTACTATGAATCTCTTTCAAGACTAATAAAGGTTCCAGACCTGAATGCTGCCTTGCCATTTCTCAATATAAATGCCAGGTAAAATTACACAATGAATCTACTCTAACACTTTTTGCATGGGAGTTACAAGCAGCAGCCTTGAAGCCCCTTCAGGGATAAATGTATTTTCTGAAGCAGTGCTAACACCAATAAATGGACGATTTATATGTAATCCCTAAAAGCAGACAGGCAGAAATTACCAACCATGCCACATGACCTTCGAACTAATAAGCATTTTATTTAGTCACACTTGTATAATTGGGCATTTTTAAATAAGAGATACAAATTATTGTCCCTGATATTTTAAAGCAAACTTTCCAGGACTGTATATTCAAACAAATGTTTTGTGAGGTTTTTTAGTGTCTTTTTTTTCCCAGAGTAGTCACTAGAAGTAACTGAACACCTATTTAATCAATACTGCCATTTCCTGAAAATATACTGTATCACTTGAGAACACTTCCGAAGTGAGTTTATAAGCTATATCCTTTATATGTACAAACAGACATTACACTCAGAAAATACCCATTTACTCATAGGCCAAACTCAGTGCAATGAATAGGCTATAAATGGTAAGATTCTTTTTGTTTGTATTAACTGCTCACTGGTGGCCCAGCAACCCGGACTGCATTCTCCTCCCTGGATTCCATCTGCATGTGGTCACTGAGATCTATTTCTCTGATAAGTTTTATTTAGAAACAACAAATCAAGACTTAAAGATAGAATTGATATTATTGTAAATCCTTACAGCTAGTTTGTGGTCATTTGTATTGCCATGTTATCAATACCATAAACCGTAAAAGGTATATGCCCTTTAGAAAAATGGCACATACCTTTTCCAATCGTTATACTCTAAAAATAAAACATTCTTTTATTCAAACAGAATGAGGGGACAATATACAAGGTCTCAACTGATCAAAGCAAAATGAAAGATCGTAAGATCAGTAAGAAAATGCATCTCACAATTAAGTTAATGTTTATGATAAATTTTACAATCAAGTGAAATTAATAGGACCACTTCAGAAAAAAAAGCAGAAAACAAAAAAACTTTATAGGAAGAGTCAAAGAATCAAATATGTTATACTTGTTTTCACCAATTGGTAACAGTCTAGTCTATCAAGTAATCCGCTAGATGGCTGATGTCACGTAACTGCCTCTGACACCTTCATATTCCAACTTCATTGATAAGTCAGGAGGAGGCTATTTACAAATCCATCTGTGCGTTTAGGCTCAGCGCAGTTTTGCTACCTTTCCATGCACCCCCTTTTCATTTTTTATTCTACAGCTCCTGAGAGAGAGCAAAAATAAGAAAAATAACACCCTTCATAAGCCCACCAGTCAAACATAAACACTAATAACATTTTGAGGTATTAAAATGGTCACTGCTAATGCTTTATTTCTTTAAGACATCCTCCTTTTTTATTCTGCCTCTTCCTTCTACTTACTTCCCTCATCAATATTTCAGTACTGAATTATCCCAACAATCATGCCCTCGCCACGAAAACACCTTTCGGAAGGAGCTGAGCACTGGCATTCTTGAACAGAATCCCTTTAGCACCCTGGCAAGAAGCGCCCCACTCCTGCACGGGTAGCCCGCACCCCTGCTGCTGGATGGAGTGCTGGGATTACCATGGAAACCATTTCCAGGGTGCCATGCCTCCTGCAAAACATCACTTACTGTGCCAGGCATATGACTTCTCTCGTTCTTCCCGTTCTGAGGGCTGCTATTCTTGAGTTTCTTTTTTTTTTTGGTTGTTTCCTTGTGCTCTTTCTGTTTGTTTTGCACTTCAATGAGAACAGAAATAAAGCTGTTTTTCACTTCCTTTTCGAACTCCAGTTCATCTCGCAGGGCCAACTGCTGCACCAGCTCTTCAGAGTATTCCTTAATGGCAGTCTCAATTTCCTCCAGCAGTTCATTTAACTCAGACACTGAGAGCCTTTTTACTCCTATGACCAAAAAGCAAAGCACAGCAGACATTAAGACAAAAATGTTTCAAGCTAGCACAACAGGTTGTTTCATGACAAACAGCAAAACCATATTCTAAGCAATTAACTTGTTCATGATCTTCGCAGAACCCTAAAACTTCCAGTGGGCAGGTCTAAGTAGAGGCAGGTCAGCAAAGCTACTTCTCGAATAGCGGACAAGAAAAATATAACCACCTTTTTTCCTTGTCTCAATCAATCATCCCATGAATAATACTTCAGTCATGACTGAAAAAATGATACAGAGAAAAGAACACACATAGGGGAAAGCAGACAGAAACTACCCGCTGACGAGAAATCACAAGCAATTCAGCAGGGTTCTGGCGCACTTCTGAGAGAGAAGTCCATTTGAAAGAGTTCAACTAAATGCATATTTAATCCATTGGGCCCCACTGTGTAAGTGTATTGAGTACGTGAAGATGAAAAGGAAAAATATTCACCGGAACCCCATTTCAGTGTTTTCTCAGCACATCCCCTCATGGGAGAGAGAGGACATCATTAGGTCCTAACCCCCGTCCCTCAGAATGTGACTGCTTTGGAGGAGGGTCTTCAAAGAGAGAATGAAGTTACAGTGAGGTCATGAGGGTGGTTCCTACTCCAAAGTGACTGATGCCCTTATACATGAGACTAAGACGGATACACACAAGGCAGGCCCTGTGAGAGCAGAGAGAAGACCGCCATCTGCAAGCCACGGAGAGAGGCCTCAGAGGAAACCAACCGTGCTGACACCCTGATCTCGGACTTCCAGCCTCCAGAACGGTGAGGAGTAAATGTCTGTTTAAGCCACCCAGCCTGTGGTACTTCATTACACAGCCCAAGCTGACTAATGCAGGATTCAAAGGTGAATATGACACGGTCCCTGATCAAAACATGCCCCACGTATATTGGAGGGTGGAAGTGTATGCAACCCAGCCTGTGAGAATCAAAGATCTCCGGAGACAGCCACACCGCACGCTTGAAATATACAAAACAGCACGAAGAGCACGGACTTGAGCAGGGTTTCTTACTCTCTTCATAACTGCTTGTACTAGACCTCTTAAGAGTTTGAATTTCCTGGGAAAGCATCGAAAGCCGATCTGACTGTGTGAGCGTTTCATCATCATCTGGATCGGGTGATTCCTGCATCATTTCTTCAATTTCTTCAATAACCTTCCAAAATATACATGCCACTGTTAATCACATATACATGGAAAACAATCGTCTGAAACATGAGGCTCACGAGGCAACCAAAGTAAAAACGCACTAAGGTCTCCATTAATCAAGTGTGCAGGAGTCGGGGCTCTGAACAGTCAAATTTCGATTTTAAGAGTGGACAGTTTATCCACAAAAATTTACCATATACTAGACACAAACTTCAACAGAATATGATTTAATACGCCCGTCACGATTCAGCAGGCCCTAGCAGATCTTGCCATGCCCGAGAAGTAGTGTCACAGACACGTGTGTGATTTACTTCAGACGTGCCAGAACCAGAGCAGTTACAGCTCAACAAAAGTGAAGGACAGAAAATGAACCACATACCACAAGCAAGTGCTCAATCTAAAGCCATTTCATCAAATTGACGTAACTTAGAAAATACAACCGTAAAGTTATATATAAAGCAAGAGATTACCTCTGCGGAAGCAAAATTCTCCTTTAACAGCACGAAAAAATGTTCATACATGAATTCAATGGAAGATGAAGGAATATTCAAAAATTACTTAAAATGCAGAAGCTTAAAGAGAAAAAAAAGCTGCACAAAAGCAGAAAATGTTCAGATATCTGCCTTAATTTAAACAGTGATCTACTGTCAATGCGATGTTGTCCCGATTTCACAGCAACCTCTCGTCCTGTTTCAGATTCCAAAAGTTGAGGAGGAACCTGGCCAGTGTGCTCACTGGTTAGAGCGTCCGCCCGCAGACTGAAAATGGTCGCAGGTTCGATTCCGGTCAAGGGCACGTACCTGGGTTGCAGGTTTGATCCCTAGCCCCGGGGCCATGTGAGAGGCAACCAGTCGATGTGTCTCCCTCACATCAATGTTTCTCTCTCTCTCTCTCTCTCTCTCTCTCTCTCTCTCCCTTTCCCTTCCTTCCTTTCTTCCTTCCTTCCTTCCTCTCTATCTAAAACCCAATGGAAAAATATCCTCAGGTAAGGATTAACAAAAAAAAGAAAACAAAAGTTGAGGAGATAAAACTAAGAGAAAATTTAAGGAAAACCAGAAAAATTACTCAGTAGTTAGAAAATACAGACCTAAGCCCTGGCCGGTTTGGCTCAGCGGTTAGAGCATCAGCCTGCGGTCCAGAGAGACCCGGGTTCGGTTCCCGCTAAGGGCACGTACCTCGGTTGCAGTTTGTCCCTGGCCCTGGTTGGTCGTGCAGGTGGCAGCCACTCGATGTGTCCCTTTCACGTCGATGTTTCTCTCTCTCTCTCTCTCTCTTCCTCTCTCTCCCTCCCGCTCTATCTGTACAAAAAATGGAAAAATGTCCTCGGGTGAGGATAAAAAAAAAGAAAATACAGACCTAAGAGTTTAAAATTTTCAAAACTATTAGAAAAAATACAATGTGAAATCAGCAAGCTTAACATGTAACACTTATTAAGAAAAAACAACCGTAAACTTGAAGAAGGTGGGGATCACGTCAGTTAGTAAGATTTCCCAGAAACGGGCCTGGAAAACAGTGAAACGAGGCGCTGACACAGGCTGTGCAAGCTGCTCCTCTGAGCCTGAAACGCAGGGACAGCTTACGGCACTCAGGCCGGTGACTGAGGAATCATGGCTCCCAGGTCACGTTTCCTGCAATGTGTGCTCAACCCCACTCTGCCCTCTCACCTTCTACTTGCTTTTCAAGTTACCTCGCTCTCCCCAGGCCTAGAACAATCCAACCACATGTGACTAAGGAGCACCAAAGTGACACCTTTTTAACGTGCTCCTCCCAACCTGACCACAACACAGCTCTTTACTGACCTTGTTTTTCCAGCCTAAAAGTACAGTGTGGTAGAAGTCACAGTCTAAGCAGCTGTGCCACATTTTATTTCAGGAAGTTCTTGCCATCGCATTTGATAATACAGCAGAAGTGGGAAGAGCATTCAGAAAATGAGAGCGCTGATTCAGTGGTTTTAAGTGAATACACGGTTGACATTATTAGCTCATTCCACAGGCATAATGCTCACTTCTTTCCAGAGTACACAATGTGTACATCCAATAAGTGCAAATGATTTTTGCATAGGTCTGGGAGAAACTAGATCATTTCTATGCAAATATATTATAGATTGCCCATGACTGGCTAAATCTAAAGAAGACAATTCACACTATTTTTTCTGATTTCCATGTAAGCAATTACCCTCCCTGAGTAATTTGCTGTACTGTTTTGACAATGCTTTATCTTGGAAAACTGCCTGTACTGGAAAATCTTCCCACTAGCGGAATCCCACCTGCTTCAGATCACACAGACCTTCTCCTCTCAGTGGAGGAACCAACTGTTAAGCTACATATGCAGAAAATACAGATAAAACAAGTAAATTCCAACAAGCCATCACTTATTGCCACAGTAAGAAATCGCTTTTCAGCTCAAGGTTCCTCTTTCCTTGGCTGACGGATTTCTCCTTTGTACCTGATCTGCAGTGAAGAGGGGCTCGTCGTTAACACAGGAGACGATGATTGAATGCATATCCAGCTGTTCTCGCAACTCCTCCTCATCTGATGTATCAAAGAGCAAGTTGTCACTTACCTAAAAGCAAAACAGCCCACTATTAAAAGTAGGACCTTCTGGCCCAGCTGGTGTGGCTTAGTGGATTGAGCATCACCCCATGGACTGAGAGGTCCCGGTTCGATTCCGGGTCAGGGCACATGCCCAGAATGCCTGCTCGATTCCCAGTAGGGGGTGTGCAGGAGGTAGTCAGTCAATGTTTCCCTCTCACATTGATGTTTCTATCTCTCTCTTTCCTTTCCTCTCTCTAAAAAAGTCAATAAAATATTTTAAAAACCATGCTTACAATAGCTGAGATCTGGAAACAGCCCAAATGTCCATCAGTAGACAAATGGATGCAAAAGCTGTGGTACATATACACAATGGAGTACTATGCAGCTGTAAGAAAGAAAGATCTCTTATCCTTTGAGACGACATGGAGGGACCTGGAAAGTATTATCCTAAGTGAAATAAGCCAAGCGGAGAAAGACAAGTATCATATGATCTCACTTATTTGTGGAATATAATGAACATAACAGTGTGAGTAACGGCGTAGTCCCAGAGACGTGGAAGTGGGGTACAGACTGACAATGCCAGAAGAGGGGGTGGTGGGGGAGAGATAAACCACAGAACTTATATACATAACCAATGGACATGGACAACAAAGCTGGGGACAGGGCAGGGGGGGAGGGAGGAATCAGTGGGGGAAAAAGGAGAAACATCTGTAACAAAAATAAATTAATAAAAAAATAAAATATTAAAAAAAAAAAAAAAAGCAAGACCTTCTGATCACAACAAAGTCTGGGTAAAGAAGACGACAGAGGGAGGCATCAGCTGAGAACGTTCCCTCCAAAGGAAGAAATTATCACAATTGCACTGTACCAGGCAGTGTGAACTGCTTTACACGTGCGCCTCCAACAGCAATGAGAGGAATACAGAATAAATGTGACACTGCCAAGGGGCTGCAAGCATCCCCCAGTGCCCGGCACAGGTGCACACTCAGCTGCTTCGCCACGGAAGATGCTATAAAAGGGGACTGATAAGTACAAATGCAGGGATGGGGCAATTGTTAGGAAGGTGTAGGAAATTAGAGCAAATGGGGGGTGGGGTAATGGGCAGAGTAGACAGCAAGTGTTATTTAGTTAACAATAAAGTAAGACTGGAATATATTAAAATTCCACAGAAAACATAAAGTTTACTCGTAAACTTCAGAGTAAAAGATAAGAAATCGACTCCTGGCAGACAGGACTGTCCATAAGGATAGCACTTAGCCCTCTCAGTTGAACATCTCTTCGTTAGAAAAACAAAGAGTATCTCTGGGTTCCAAAACATGTTTAAACCTAACTGTGTTGGAGACTGTCCTTACCTCAATTTCCCACACTGCTCTCTGCCCCAGGAAGTGACCTTTGTGGACTACAGCAGAAGATGGCCGTGACCTCCGGCTTCCAGTGGATTAGAGGAAGGTGGGAAGGTGCTGGCTGGGAATTTATTCTGCTGTACCCTCGCTGCCAGGCTGCCAAAGGCTGTGGCTCCTAGCGAGCAGGCTCTCCCCTGCAGCTGTTCCCGCCAGGTTCTGGTAACTTCTTTCCCCTTCACGCCAAGGGGTGCTAGTACTGGTTGCTATTGCCGGCCCTGCGGCACCACACCAGGCCTAGTCGGTGTCCCTTAACCCTGTCCACATCAATAGAGACAGCCTTTTTAATAATGACTTAGAGTTTAGCCCTGGCCAGTTTGGTTCAGCGGTTCAAGCGATGACCCACAGACCAAAGAGTCGTGGGTTTGATTCCAGTCAAGAGCATGTACCTTGGTGTTGGTTTATCCCCAGGGCTGGGGTCATGCGGGAGGCAACCACTTAATGTGTCTCTCTTACACTGCAGTTTCTATCTCTCTCTCTCCCACTCTATCTAAGATAAACAGAAAAATATCCTTGGTGAGGATTAAAAAAATGAATAAATAATGACTTGGAGTTTAGTACTAGTACTCATTATAAAAACCTTACCTGGAAAACTCAGCAGATTAAAACGCATAAGTGATCACCCGTCTATCACCTAGGTAACGTGACATGACTATTCAGATGATGAAAGAACTGAAATTAGAACTTCATTCCTCAGGAAGGAGTAGCACACACTGAGCTCCCAAGGAACAGATGGGCAGTGATGAACAACGTAAGAAGCGACCATGTATTTCCATTAGATAGAATATACTTTTAAAAACAATAGTTTACTTGGAAAAAGTATTTTATTTAGCAATGCAGAGGATATAATAATACTGAGGCTATAATGGAATACTGTAGTTCCGCACACGGGATCATGGTGAAGAGGGCCCACAGAGCCAGACACCTGCAGGAGGGAGGTGCAAAGGAGCACAGGGGTGCTGCCTTCACAGGTTCGGGCTGGGAGGAGCCGCAGCAGCACTGCAGGGTCATCTACCCCGCGGACTCGACTCCACGCTGCACCACAGGGAGGACACACCTCCTCACTCGACCTCACAATACACCACCAGCTTCGGAAGGCTTGGCCGTGTCCTTCCGCACAGTATCTTGACATTTCAGAACACTGAGAGAATAAGAACCTAAAAGCTTACACAGAGAAAACACCATCACATTAAAAGGACCAGGAATTAAAATGTCATTTAAATTCTCGACAGCAACAACAGAAGCTAAAAAATAACCGGTATAATGGCCTCATTTCAATTAATTCCACCCTAGAAGCCTAGCTAAACTAACAGCCAGATCAGGGCTTAGAATAAGACATTTTCAGACATTCGGGTTCTCAAAACATTTACTTTTCATGTACCCTTTCTCAGAAAGCTACTGCAGAATATGCTCCATTCAAACCAGGAGGAAAACCAAAAAGGAAGAGGACGCGAGATCTAATACAAGAAAGAGGTGAAGGGAATCCCTGCAACTGAGTGAAGACCCAGGACTATGGCTGTGACGCTACGGGAACCAACTCAGGTCAGAACTGTTGACTACAAAGGGCATCGAGGGCATCGAGAACAAGAAAGAGGGAGAGGACAGAGAAAGACTGATATATTATCTAGTGTATTTCAATTACTACAATGAGTTTTATGGCTTTGTTGAGGCTGAATTAGTGAGCTAATGATAACCTAAATAAATCACAAAAAGGCAATTATTGCCCTAAGAAAAAAAATGACAAGTGAAAATTCAATCATAATGTAACAAAATGGTTCAACTGTGAATATTTAAATAGTCAATATAAATGGTAAAGATGAACTTAACCACATATTTTGATATAATTATACTGTATTGGGAAGATAGGGGAAGGGGAAGTTTTGGTGAGGGCTATGGTGTTGGGGTTGGAGGGAGGACTAGGAGGGTACTAAACCCTCATCCTCTGGGTTTAGAAGTACATCAAGTCTAAAACTGAAAAATAAAATCACATGAAATGGTATGAGTATGTTACCTGTTCCAAGAAACAGGGGAAGCAGCTGAAAGTGGCTGCCTCTGGTAAGCAGTGACCAAAGATGGGGTAAGCAGGGCACAGGCTACGTTTTCAGGCTAAGTCCTACAGCTCCAGTGTACTTATTAAACTATGACAGTTATCATTTTAAATAAGCAAGAAGAAAGGTCAAGAGATTAGGTTCTTGCCCTGGCCGGTGTGGCTCAGCGGTTAGAGCGTCGACAGGTTTGATTCCTGCCAAGTGCATGTACCTCAGTTGCAGTTTGTCCCTGGCCCTGGTTGGGGTCATGCGGGAGGCAACCAATCTATGTGTCTTTCTCGCATGGGTATCTCTCTCCCTCTCCCTCCCTCCCTCCCTCCTTTCCACTCTATCAGAAGATAAATGGAAAAATATCCTTGGGTGAGGATTAAAAAAAAGAGAGAGAGAGTAGGTTCTTGATGAGAGAGCATGTTTGATTTCAAGACTGGAGATGTGGAGATGAACAATTCCACAATGTGATCACAACAGTGTGTGGATGATGTGGAGTAGACCTAACAACTATAATTATCTTCACTGATCCTTAAATTTCAATATCCCCCTCCAATCACTCTTATATGTTGTAACATAAAGACCATAGTTTTGTTTTATGTTTCCCCTTACAGACAAGCTGTCCCTAATAAACAAATAAAAGTTTTAATTTAAAAATTACTCCTAGGAGGATGTTATCATCTTCCTACTGTTTTTACTCTTAGAGATATAAGGTGCATAAACAAAGTCGAAGTCCTTGAAAAAATGCTCACGGTAGGAGGAAGGTGATGATGGCACAGATGTTCCTAAGGCAAATGACTTAGAAGCATTCTATATATAAGCATGATCAAGAAAGGCACTGGATTTAGAACAGGTTTACAGCTATTGCCAAAACACACGAGTGACACCAGTAAGGCATAAGAATAAATTTCCATGACAACAGAAATAATGATCCCAGCCCATCATTCCAGAGAGGGAGCCAAGCCCATTCCACACAGAGATGGCATATGTAAGGGCTGGAATCCCTCTCAGGCTTTGAAAATGAACCTTGGCTGTCATGGGCATCATTATTCACTCTTCCATTCGGCATCAACGTGCCTTCTCTTTGCCAAGCATTCCGAACATCACTCCTTCCAGTGCCAGGGCTAGATACGGAGCTGGTGGTGCCGTTTCCCCCTATGAAAACAAAGCTGCCTCAAATGGAAAAAATGTACCCATGGAAGAATTTAGACTGCACTAGATGTCTTAGAGATTCAGCAAATTGCTTCTTCCGTTGTTAAAACTATTTCCTCTAGACCATGTTTTACAATTGGAAGAATCCAAAGAATGCTTCCAGAAGGTAAACAAACACTGGTCTTAGGACTGACTACATGCCAGGCACAGTGGTAGAGACTAAAGAGACAAACACAGAGACACCACCAGGAAGTCACAATCTAATGATAGACCCAGAGACATATGGTTAAGAGAACACAGTAGTGATTTGAGACATGGGCAGAATGCTGTGGGGACTAGCACCCAGGAGACGATGAGGCTAAATTTCATGGGACAGATAAGTTCTAGAAGATTTTCATATCCCACAAGTGTAACAGAGTCCCAGAGAGAGGAGGGCATTTTCCGTCCATGCAAAGCTTTAGGCCATGGCTTAATGGCCATCTGTCAGATACGGTGTAGATGGGGATTCCCCTCAAGTGTGAGGTTGGATTAAGTGTCCTTTAAAGTCCCTTCCAACTCTAAAATTGTGTAATTCCATGAGATCAGCAGAGGCTAAAACTGTAATAGGAAGCTTCTGAGAGGAAGGGAAACTTGAACCAAGTCCAAAATGATAGCTAGGATCTAAATAAACAGAAAACAGAGCATAAGATATTTGGTTGCACTCCTTTTCATTACATGTATGTCAGGTCAGTCTGCAAAACAGCTCAATGGGGTTAATAGAACAAACAGTAAGAATTCTGCATCTAATAGAATACTGGGAAGTAGAATCAGAATTCTGTATTTTACTAGAAACAAGAGCATGCAAAAGATCTGAAATGGGTGTACCCTGTTATTTGATGAGGAACTTCAACAGTCAGGCCCTAAAGCTGACATAACTTAGCTACGTTTCACATCAACTTGAAACAACACTGTGGTTTTCCACTTAAAGCAATTCTCTTCCCTGTTCTGTTCCCCTTGCTATCCTATCACTGGTGCTCATTTTTCTTACTCAAGGCATCTTCACTTTACAACACCAAGACAAACACAGCAGCCTCCAACAATTAAAAGCCAAGAACTGAGCCCAGCCAGTGTAGCTCAGTAGTTGAGCAATGACCCATGCACCAAGAGGTGACCAGTTCTATTCCAGGTCAGGACACATGCCCAGGTTGTGGGCCAGATACCCAGTGGGGGGCATGCAGGAGGCAGCCAATTGATGTTCTCTCTCATTGATGTTTCTCTCTCTCTCTCCCTTTCCCTTCCTCTGTAAGACCAATAAATAAAATAAAATATTTTTAAAAAATAAATAAAAGCCAAGAACTAAAATGTCTTTTAAAGTTTCCCCAATATTCATGGTCTTTGAGCAACATGTTGTATCCAGCAAGTCATTAAGTTCATCAAAAAGTTAACTCTGTTGATATTCCAGTACCCCCAGTACAGTCATATGCCACATAACAATGCTTGGGTCAACAACTGACCACATATACCATGATGGCCCCATAAGATTATGTGTCCTGGCTGGTCTGGCTCAGTGGTTGGAGCATCATCCCATGCACCGAAAAGTCGCTGGCTCAATTCCCGGTCAGGACACATGCCCAGGTTGAGGTTCAGCCCAGGTTGAGGTTCAGTCCCAGTCGGGGTGCATATGGGAGGCAACAGATTGATGTTTCTCTCTCACATGGATGTTTCTCTCTCTCCCCACCCCCAATCTCCCTTACTCTCTCTCTAAAATCAATAAAAACATATTTTTTTAAAGTTAAAAAAAGGATTACAATGCAGATGAAAAAATCCCTACTGCCTAGTGACGTCACAGTGCACTGCACTACTCAGGCGTTCGTAGAGATGCTGGCGTAAACAACCCTCACGTACAGCACGTACAATCATGTGCAGCACATAATACCTAATTACAATAATAACCAACTACAATACTGGTTTATGTACATACTATCGTATACTTTTCATGATTATTTTATAGTGTATTCTTTCTACTTACAACAAAAGCTTTGTTGTAAATTAGTGTGCCATGGTAGACCTCACACGTCTCGTGTTTACTGTGTCTCTTGACTGCATCATTTTCTCTTGCGCTTGATTTAATTCCTGTGTTGTTTTATGAACAACATACATGCTGTATGTTGCAGCATACAGCGATACATGCTGTATCAGCTTTTAGCTTAGGAGCAGTAGGCCATACCATACAGCCTAGGTGTGCAGTAGGCTAGACTAGATAGGGTTGTGTAAGTGCATTCTATGATGGTCACACGACAAGGAACTCTAATGACACGTTTCTCAGAATGTATCCCCATCACTAAGTGGCATACAATTGTGCATTAAACCAAAGGCCAGAATTCTCACTAAGTGTTCTCAGTCTATCAAAATTGTGTTATTTAAGATGGAAAAAAAATGCTGGTCGCTGATGTTCATACAAAGGTGATATAAATTTAGCTAAACATAAAAAATGCAGTGTGGGCTGGGGGAGAACTGGAGGAATATGCTAGCAGTTGGATTATGGCAAGAGAGAGCCAGTCCAATTGCTACAGCTTGGAAGTAAAAAGCAACTCATGAATTTTGGTTCAATGGAAAAGCTCCTTTTAGTTCCATTAACAGAATCAGTTTTTAAGAAACCAGCGGTTCAATTCCTAACTCACCCCTTTTTCTGAGAGGTTTAGAGTGAGCAAGTGCAAGGTCCTGGTATGTGATGACTTCCAATCCACAGGCATTACATTTCCATAATTATCTGTCAGGGCATTCCAGATCCTAAAAAAGAAGAAAACTATAGTCAATGAAAGTTAACATTCTGTTGTTATTTTTTACAACCCTCACCCGAGGATATTTTTCCTTTTTTTTTTTTAAGATAGAGTGGGAGGGAGGAAGGGAGAGAGAGAGAGAAAAGCATTGATGTGAGAGAGACACATTGACTGGTTGCCTCCTGCATGACCCTGACCAGGGCTGGGGATCAAACTTGTAACCCAGGTACATGCCCTTGACTGGGAATCGAACCTGTCACTCTTTGGTCTGCAGGCTGACACTCTAACCTCTGAGCCAAACCAGCCAGGGTGAAAGTTAACATTCTATGTCTTTTATTAAATAAATATCCAGTACTACAGTGAAAGAAAAACAAAATATATCAAAGCAAAAAAAAAAAAGGGCAGTTCATTGTTTCTCAGAAAAACATCGACAAAGTAGAGCCCCATAAATAAGACTAAATGAAAATCATATAATTGGGCTGACAAGAAGTCCTGAGAAAAGGTGAGTTAAATGGAAAACTCTCCCAGGTCGATAACTGACACTTTCCACTGGTAGCATGTGCCAGGCACTATCCTAAACAATTTACCTTTTTTTTTTTATCCTCACCCAAGGATATTTTTCCATTTTTTATACAGATAGAGTGGGAGGGAGAGAGAGGAAGGGAGAGAGAGAGAGAAACATCGACGTGAAGGGACACATCGAGTGGCTGCCACCCGCACAACCAACCAGGGCCGGGGACAAACTGCAACCGAAGTACGTGCCCTTTAGCGGGAACCGAACCCGGGTCTCTCCGGACCGCAGGCCGACGCTCTAACCGCTGAGCCAAACCGGCCAGGGCTCATTTAATTCTTAAAAGCAGTACTGCCCTGGCCAGTGTGGCTGTTAATTGGAGTATCGTCCCTATGCACCAGAAGGTTGGGGGTTCAATGGCCCAGTCAGGGCGCATGCAGGAAGCAATGGATTGATGTCTCTCTGTCTCTCTCTTTCTTCCTCTCTCTAAAATCAGTATTTTTAAAAATGACAATATTATAAAGAACCTTTATTATCCCCACCATTTTATAGACAAGGAAAGTAAAGCACATGGAATTTAAGTAATGTTTCCAGAGCCAATCTGGTAGTAAATATACTTCATTTTCTTCCACAAGTTCCAAACATACATTTCATAGAGTGAATGACCTCTCTAACCCAAAGTCTGTTATCCTTTCTAGAAAAAGGATTCAGTTGCAATGTGAAATCAGGGTTTAATTTCTAATTTGTAATATAAAAGACTGAGGACTAAAACTGACAAAATGAAAGGGAGTTCAAATACAATGCACACAGGTTATATCCAGTGCAGTTACCTTACCTTATTATCAAGCTGCATTTTGGGGAGGCAATAGAGACTTAACTAAAATTCAGGAAACACAGCCTCTGGTCTCCATTCTTCCTCAAAAAATGAGTTTTTGGCGGTGTCCTTTAACCTCTCTCTGTATCAGCCTCCTTTCTATAAAATGAGAGGCTTGGACAGACATTCCTTCCAGCTCTATTACTCTAAGCATTAATTTAAATGAGCTGCATTGAGGAAAGTCCCAAAGCACACCAGATAAGGACAGCAAACTCCAATTTCATGGCCAAAAAGCAGCTTTCAGTACCAACATAATAACCAGCATAATAAAACATGACATTGTATTAAAAAAAAAATGAGTTCGGAGATATAAATGACATGAAATTTAACTGATGTAAATAAAGTTAAACGCTACACATATAAGCAACTTAACAACTAGAGGTAACACATACATATCCTAAAGAAAAAACACCCTAAAATTTATAACAGGTATCTAACTGTGAATAAGCCATGACGTAGTTAGGTAGGGTTTATTCCCCAGAGTGTGAGCCATTAGACTACAAAAGCAACACCACTAGGGGTGCAGAAATAAGAACACAAGTTTCAAAATAAAGAAGCAACAGGCTTGATTTAATGCATTGAGATTTGGTGCTAAAGAGATGAAGCAAAGGGACCACAACTGCCAAAAACGTAAAATCCCAACATGATGTTTTTGGCTTTGGAACGCACATTAGCCTCAATGAAAATGTAAACCCAAAGGCTCTAGAAAACTGGCTTGTTTACCCAGCAAAGCTCCCATATGCTCAGTTCATTCCTATTCCCCTCTCTGTTGGAATCATAATCTCCTCTAATGCCAACATGCTCGAATTGGAGGCAACTCTTCTGAACTGTTAAATTTGCTGGGTTTCAGGCACACCTTCCTAGGTAAAAGACTTTCAAATACTGAATCACTTACAAACACCTAACTCTGGTCAGAAACTCCAGTAGGATATTCTAGCAGGTAAAGACTCCAGAATTTTGGGACTGCTTGTCTGCCCCTTCTTACATGAAGCTGTAAAAAAAAACAAGTGCAGTGGAATACTCCACCTAGGAAACAATGACGTGACTGATTTTGATCTGTCAAGAAAGGGAAGGACAATCAACAGTCCTCTATCTCCACCAAGGTCAGAACAATTGTAGTTGGAGGGAAGTAGGGCCCACTGAAGTAAAAGATTTCTAATATTTTTCCAGTCAAGATATGAATTGCCTTCATCCTTATCATAAAGTATTACCAGCAGTCATAAACAACTGGCAAGACAGCGCTTTTCCAAGGTCAAAGTCCCGCCAACATCGAATCCTACAAGAGACCCTTCTAAAGTAAAACCTTGGCAGGTGAGTATAATCCCTGCATTTAACCAAAACTAAAACAGGGACTCAGAAAAGTTAAACAAAGTGCCCGAAGGCAAGGCAATATCTGAGTGAAAGAATTCTCAACTCTCTCTGGTGAAGGAACACGAAATGGACTCCTCCAGCAGTGGGGAGCAGATTCATGCAACAGAAAGCCATGTGTGGTAACCTACCACAGCCCTGGGAGAGATTTTTTATGCATTCCCAAATGAAGCCACACACACGCCTTACCAACATATCATCCACTAAAACCCATTTTAAAGGGTAACAAAAAAAATTGTTTAAGTTTTACATCAATCTAAGATTTAAGCAAAGGCTAAAATACACTACTTTCCAGACAATACAGGTGAACAAAAATAAGGAACTTTAACCGTCTGTTTTGATAAGTTACTCTTAATAAACCCAAATTCATAATAAATATAATTTTAAAATCCAGAATATGCCCTGAGTCTATTCATTCAGAGTATATAATTATACATGTATATGCATATTATATACACACACACAAACACTATCTTCTTTTTGGGAACAGAATTTCGAAACGTCACAGATTGCCACTTAGTGCATATATGCGTGTATAAAATCCAATCATAAATTCTTCCTTCTACACCTGAACACTGTACAATGGTACCAGTTAAAAGATACAGTCTCACCCTGACCGGTTTGGCTCAGCAGTTAGAGCCTTGGCCCACGGACGAATGAGTCACGGGTTCAATTCCAGTCAAGGGTACATACCTCAGTTGCCGTTCATCCCCAGCCCTGGTCCTGTGACACAGAGGCAACCAGTCGATTTGGCTCTATCACATTGGAGTTTCTCTCCCTCTCCCTCCGTCCCTCCCACTCTATGTGATGATAAATAGAAAAATATTCTCTGGTGAGGAAAGAAGAAAAAAAAAAGATATAGCCTCCAAACATAGCTGAGCCCAACCCCCTGCTAAGCCATGCTTACAGGCATCTATTCCCAACCCCTCTTCTCAAACTTCATACCGTATTCCTGATAAATCTGCTTCACAGAGAAGATCATCAAGCTAGAAGCCCCTTTCTATGCCCAGGGATCTTTCTCTCTCATGACAGTTCTTCCCTAAACTCTAATCTCTCCATCCCACCAATGCTTGGAAAACCCATCCATTCCCATGTCCTCAGTATTTACTCCATTAATTTCACCCTCAGCTTCTCCAGGGGCGCCCCTCCCCTGACATTACAATATGCTAAAGTTTTTTCACTCTCACCATTTTTAAAACCACCTTTTGGGATAATACCATGGTACATAATCACAACCCTTATTTAACCAAATTATAATTGGAATTCAAAGTGCCCCCAGGAACTGTATCCCTCCGTTCCCCCAACTCTCATATAAATCCTTGTGAATTCCCTATCACTGCACTTAGATAATTCTGTGATAGTTGCCTGTTTATGTATGGGTCTCCCCACCGCAGCTATTAATAACCAGGGTTCTCGGTTTTTGCCTGTGGAGGCCTGCACTGTACCTGGGCTCTCAGGTGGACCCAATACGTTCCTGTGGCATAAATGCTTCTTTAACATTGGTACCTTTGCACGTGCTACATCCTCGAGCTGGGACGCTAAATCCGTCTTCACCTGCCAAGCACACTCCCACTCATCCATCAGGATCCAATTTCCATTTCTCCCTCTACGAAGCCTTTCCTGTACGCCCCCCCCCCAACACACACACACCCCTTTAAATTTCCTAAATTTTACACATCTGTCCATCAGAGCATTTGTCACACACAAATATTTGTTTACAAATCTAGCTCCCGTCCTAGGTTGTGCCCTACTTGCGAAGGGCAGTCATCTCGGTATTCCCAGTGCTAACTACGCTGCCTGGGCCACTTAACGGACTTTTAATAAATGCTAGTTGGACGAAGAACGAATGAATGAAGGGCCACACCAGTCCCGCGGAGGTACTGCCTCTAACACGGCTCTGCAAGGAGATTCCCTCCAAACCCAACTAGGGTAGGTTCAAGGCAGGAAGCGCAGGAGGGCAGTGGCGGAGGATTAAGTGTGGGGAGCCGAGCAGCCGGGGATTTAAACCGCCCAGCAGGCAGCGGCCGACGGCCCCAGGGAGAGACGAGGGCGAGCCGGGAGGGCGGGGACTCGGGCCGAAGGAGACGGAAGGAGGGTGCGGGGAGGAGCCTGAGGCCGGAGTCCCGCCGCGGCTGCGGGCCGAGGCCGGCGGACGGGGCGAGGGGCAGGGAGGCTCCCGCCCGCTCCCGGCCGGGCCTGCACTCACTCGTCCCCCTGCAGGAGGCTGCACTCGGTGATGGGCCGCACGGCCGCCCTCGGGGGCTCGGCGCCCGGACCCGAGGGGCGGAAACACAGGCTCAGCTTCTCCTCCAAGCTGCAGGCCAGCGCCGGAAAGCTGTCGCCCGCGCCGCCCGGCCCTGCCCCGGCCTCGGGGCTCGCGTTACAGTTCTCCTGGTCCTGGAGGGTCCCGGCCGGCTCCTGGAACTCATAGAAATCCTGCCAGTCCCCGTCGGCCGCCATCGCCGCCCGGCGCAGCCGCGCGCCCCGCCCCGCCCGGTCCTCGGGCCCCGCCCCCAGGGCCCCGCCCAGGCCGAGGCCCCGCCCCCGCCCGGCGCGCGCCTGGGGTCGGTCCTGGGCGGCCCAGCCTCGCGTCCGCCCTTTTCCCGCGTCTGGAAAACTCAACAGCGTTGGGTCACTTCGTGTAGTCTCTGTGATTCAGAAATAGCTTCCCTCTTAGCTTTTCTGAGTGGGAACCTGGCCTAAATATGGCTAAAATAGCTTCTTTAAACTTTCGACCTAGTGTCAGCTCATGCACGAAGTCACCTTCTCTGCGTAACCTGCTCCTTTTGTACCTTTCCAACCAGAATAACAGCCAGAGTCCTTGGAAAAGCTTAAGTGATACCGAAATGCATTCCATAAATACCTAAGGTCTCCCACGTGCAAAGCTCGTGCTAGACCCTCTGGAACAAGCAAAAATGAATAATTATGTAAGTTAATATTTGCAAAGCACTTAGAACAGTGCCTGACAGTAAAGTACCATATCTGTGTGTTATATAAGTGATACATAGCTGCTCCTTAAAAGAGGCTTATGTGGTTGTAGTGATAAGACCAAAGGAAATAATTTATACAATATATAAAAGTAGGTATGATTGGGAGGAGAGAGCTACTCATTAATATGCATACAGTTTCATTTTGCAAGATGTGAAGAGTTCTGGAGATGGGTGGTGGTGATGGTTGCACGAGAATATGAATGTACTTAATACTACTGAGTTGTACACTTGGAATAGTTAAAATGGTGTTTATGTTATGTGTCTATTGTCATAATTTTTTAAAAACGGAAAGAAAAGTAAGTGCGATAATAAGGGAATATGAATATGTAGAGACAATATATACTGAAGACTGTTACCAGACAAGAGTCTGCTGCCTGAAGCAGACAGTGGCCAATAGTAGGCAGTGGGTCTAGAGAAAAGGAAGGAGCTTTGCCAGTGGATGGCGGGAAGACAGAAGGTAAGGCTCAAATCTCTCTTTCTGAGTCAGGATTTGGAGTGGGGTTTCAAGGAGTAGCACTTTAAGGGTTCATAGAGTTACTCACAAGTGGGGTATAGCCAGAGTTTAAACTTTGGTTCTAGGTCTTGTTGAACAGGGTAGTTTGAGCTGGTCTGCAGCTAAAGGAGCTGATGGGAGTTATATCTTTGGGCTGTAGTAATCATATACTCCATTTCGGAAGTGGGATGTAGTTGGGTCATGAAAGATGAGTTCCTAATTTGAAAAATAAATCTGAAGTTAAAATAAAAAATGAGATTTTTCTGGTATATCAGTGTCTTGGAAATCTATCCCGAAGAATACAAGTTAAGCACTGGCTGGTTTGGCTCAGCGGTTAGAGCATCGGATCTCTGACTGAGGGGTCACGGGTTCGTTTCTCAGTCAAGGCACATACCTGGGTTGAGGGTTTAATCACTGGTCAGGGTACACACATGAGGCAACCGACCAATGTTTCTCTCTCACATTGATGTTTCTCTCTCTGTGTCTCTTTCTGTCTCTCAAGTCAATAAGAACATATCCTAGGGTGAGGATTTTTAAAAATTATGAATATGCCATTGCAAAAACAAAAAGAAATATGAACAATAGAACTATAACAATGAGAATGTAATATATTCTCTATCATCTCTTCAGAAGATTGCGGTGTTGGTTTTTCACATCAACATTCATCTCTAACTTTCCCACAGGATTAACTGAGCTGATATTTCTGTGCACAAGCAACACTAAGTTTGATACCTCTGTCACACGGCTCCTTGTATATATTACAATAACCTTTGTCTCCCAGAACCTATCCTTTGTCCATTTTAATGAACCCTTTATTCTGAATTCTTTGTCTCATTACTGACCAAGATTGTTCAGGCTTAACAAGGCCTGAAAAATAATCTGTAGTTTATTGAAAGCAGATCAGTGGTACCCAGGCCATGTGATGATTTGGGATAGTGGAATTAACTGCAGAAGGACATGAGGAAAACTTCCTCATGTATAATGGAAGAAGTTTTAACAACTTTCAAGTGTACTGTGGCATTAAGCACATTCACATCATGTGCAACCATGTATAAGGGAAATACATACTCTATAACTTGATTATGACAGTGACTATGTAGGTGTATACATTTATCAAACAACAAGCTTAAAACAAGTGCATTTTGTTGCATGTGAATTACATACCTCAATAAAATTGTTTTTAAGTGTGGCTTGATAACCAAAAAGTGGAAACCCATATTCCATCACTAGATAAACAGATAAGCAAAATGTGCCATATACATAAAATGGACTATTTATTATTCAGCCTTCAAAAGGGACGACATTCTGACACATACTACAATATGGATGAACCTTGAAGACATTATGCTAAGTGAAGCCACACACAAAAGGACAACTACTGCGTGATTCTAGTTCTTTGAGGTACCTAGAGTAGTCAAAATCATAGAGATGGAAAGTAGAGTGGTAGTTGCCAGGAGCTGGGTGAAGGGAAATGGAGAGCGTACATGGGTACAGAGTTTCTGTTTGGGATGTTGCCAGAATTCTGGAGATGTATAGTGGTGCTGGTTGCACATGATGTGAATGTACTTAATGCCACGGTACACTTGAAAGTTGTTAAAACAGTAATTTTTAAGCAATGTATATTTAACCACAATTCTTCTAAACAGGTGTGACTTTAATGAATCATTTATTAGAACTGACCTAAACAGATGTGCCCTGCTTACTTAACATTTGATCTCCTCAAAGTGGATTCAAACCAGACATTTAAAATTAGTTCATACGCTGCATGTAGTAATTGTTAATGAATTATTAACTTGTTAATTAACTCCTATTTTACTGTATCTTATACTGCAATTATACAAATTAACTTCACTAGAAAGTAATAAAAGTTTAATATAATAGACTTGCCATTTGAAGACTTGAGTTTGAGAGTCTAATTCTGAGGAAAAGAAATTCGGTGGAAATGGGGAATCTCTGGCCCAAACAGGGGGAGGAAATAAAGAAAAGAGATAAAGGAGCCCTGGCCGGTTTGGCTCAGCGGTTGGAGCATCAGCCTGCGGAACAGAGAGACCCAGGTTCGGTTCCCGCTAAGGGCATGTACCTCGGTTGCAGTTTGTCCCCGGCCCTGGTTGGTCGTGTGGGTGGCAGCCACTCGATGTGTCCCTTCACGTCGATGTTTCTCTCTCTCTCTCTTCCTCTCTCTCCCTCCCACTCTATCTGAACAAAAAATGGAAAAATGTCCTCGGGTGAGGATAAAAAAAAAAGAAAGAAAGAAAAGAAAAGAGATCAAGGAAAACAGTAGGTCCACTTCCCATTGCATTGGGAGAGGAATGAGTCAAAAAATAAGGAAGCTCTATTGAGCTCAAGGACAAGCTGTCAGAAGGTGGCACAAAGGGTATATTCAGGCGACCAGGTGGCATAAATAGAGGCTCTGCCAAGTATACAGAAAGAAATAGATATGGACAATTCAGAGGAGCCTATAATCGAAGAGAGATCAGAAGGCTTGGATCATATTTTGATGAGATCAATGGATTCTGTAAATGACTGTACTTTTGTCTGATCCAGGTTGTACATGTAATATTAGTCATATGCATTACATTCTATTTCATGATATGTTTCCTAAATTTCTTATAAGGCTATTTGTCCCAAATTTTCCATAGTCTCAAGAGTATTAGGACAAGAGAACCATAGCATCCAGCAATATTTCACAAAATCAACCAGACTACATCCAATTTGCACTGATGGGAATGTTACATGAATGAACATTAAAACCAAGTATCCTACTCCTTTGAGACTTTATTTTTTTTCAGGCCTTTGTTTTTTATTTGTTTTCTCCCTCCAAAGTTTTGTTTCCAGAGATGTTAAAGTATCTTCTGCTATCTTTAGAGAAGGAACATTGAGTGGGGATGTCTGAAAGCGGGAAGTTTAACAGGATTTTTCCTTCTGTTTTTTCTTTTAAGAATAGTCAAAATGTCTCGACATCGGGAGTTGCATCAATATTACCACATGAAAATAGCTTCATCAATATGTTATGGATCTAAATAAATAAACCACAAGTCAGATGCAGGTTGGATCTACAAAAGCAAAACAATGTGGTCTATTAGGGTAATTGTCTACATAATTTAAGCAAACACACATAATTGCTCAATTTTCTGATTGATTTGACCAGGGTAAACACAAAAGTAAGCTAATTGTTTCTAACCTAATAAGAGGGTTAAAACTCTGTGTCTTGGGAATTGCTTCTTGTTGTTGTTTAAGAAATGTGATTGTTATTCCATGTTGGAGAGAGAGAGAGAGAAACCTTGTAACTCTGAAGGACTTACTTTCCCTTTGCCTGGATTAGTGTATGCCCCGAGTGTCTCTGCACTGGGAGTTCCGGTGGACTAGCTTGGTATCCCCACCCGGGGACTCAGGACTCCAGTGCTGCTGCTGCCAACGCTCAGCAGGTGAGTGGTCCTGGGGAGGCCAAGCTCACTGAGAGTTGCATCTACCCAGAGGAGCCAGCTAACCCCAGCCTCGGCTTTCTGCTCCTGTTATGGACTGAACTGTGTTCCCCCAAAATTCGTATGTTGAAGTCCCAACCCCTATTACCTCTGAAGATGATTGTACTTGGAGATGAGGTTTTAGAGATGTAATTCAGTTCAATGAGACAGTTGGGAGTAGGGCCCTCATCCCACCTGACCGGCGTCCTAACAAGAGAAGCTCCGAGGCCCCAGGGCATGCCCACATGAAGAAGAGGCCCTGTGAGGACCAGGAGAGGGAGCCTCTGCGGGCCACGGAGAAGCTCGGAAGCAGCCAGCTGCTGAAGCCGCCAGACTGAGGGAATCAAGGTCAGCTGCTCTGCAGCCCCGGCCAAGCAACATCCCCCGAAGCCAGCCTCGTGCTCTCTGGGAGTCCTCCTGGGGGCCCCACGTAAGCTCAGGACAGATGTGATTCTGTTCCTTCTTCTGGCTTCCTTATCAGCCCTGGGTCTTGGTCTCCCCCAGAAATAACAGTACCAGGATGTTAAATGAGTGCC